CTTATATTGTGAGCAATCCAGTAGGCTTACATTGTATAACTAAGATCGTCTCAGCACTTTATGTTATTGAAAAAAAAAAACTGATAAAATTTAGATTTTAGTAAACCGGAGTGTTCTGTCAATTTTTTTAAATGTTTTTTTTCGGCATCAATTAGGGTTCGATCGATTTTCATTTAACTCTATATTATGCATCCTGAAAGGCACATTTTTTTCATATAATGATTTCACAATGGACTCCTTTTTTTCAAGATGGCGCTTTGTGACCTACTTCATGAGACAAATTCTCGGTTCCAGGCCAAAATGCGATATCCATGATAACAACATTTTAAACAACAATTCAGTCGAGATAACGCCGCTTTGACGAAATTGCTGTCTTAGGTTTTAGTTGTCAGTGTGAACGCGATAACGCCAATCTCTGTTGACATCTTTTATTCCCCCGGCCGCGTCTATTTATATTGGGACCTTTTGCAATTTGCTCCCCCTTGCCCTCCATAAATTGACCCTCAAAAACAATCTTCTTCAAGCAGATGAGAGGCCAAGATTGCCTTAAAGCTGACCCTACAAGCGAAATGTGCAAATAGAAACACGGGTCTTTTTATGTATAATTGGTCATAAACTGAAGTGACTCTGTGAAGAGACTACAGGGCAGAGGCATAATGAGGTTACTGAACAGGTGACCCGATAGGAGACTAGTCAAGCTCACAGCGATGGCAATCCGCCGCTGACTCGGTTATAGCCTTAATTTTAATTTCATGGGTTTTTGCTTCGTGCTGTTTGTTGTTTGCTGTTTGCGAAAAATTTTTCCGTAAATGATTGGAAATTTTACGGAGCTGTTAGGCCTATGTAAGAATTTCATAAACACAAACATTATTGACTCTTAAAAAAACAACGTATCGGTGAAAATATATTCGAATACTTAAAAACAAATATACGGTTCGCGGTAAATATGCTGGGTAACGTTTTACCAAACGTAATACCAAATGATTTTTAATATTGCTTTTCAACACAGCGACTCGCACCAAAGACGAAAATTGGTGACCAAAATATCTGACTACTTTTTTCCCGTTATGTAACTCTACATAAAAATATTGGTATATAATTTTGTAATGCTATAATATTCCTTCCAATTCAAAAACCAGTTGTTAATTTACCGTGACGAAGTGCCCTTTATTTGCGGGAAGAAAAATTAAACAAGCGCACTAATGTTTCCACTCATATTTTGACAGACAGATGCAAATGTAGGATGCTCCATTAAATAATTACGGAAAAAGATATACTAATTGGATCGAACAAATGGAAAATGACAGGACGAACGAGAAGGCTTTTAACAATGTTGGTCGTGCACTTAGTAGGATGGTTTCTTTCGTTCATGTGTGATCAGTACTAAGCAACGACATTACGGTAGTCACTGTTAATTATTGAGGACAGAGTCCCCGATCTTTGCGAACTGTCGAAGCATTACTGCTCAAGGCCACTGGTTGCCCGCCAACGTAAGGGACCATTCCGGTAAACAGTTGTCTGAGACATAAATCGTCGAAAGAGGGCACTTTTCGAATCGAATGATCACTCCTCGGCAGCAGTGCGCAAGTTAGATCAATGACCGTATGAACCAGAGTTCGACTAACCCTGATCAAACGCCCGCTAGTCGCTGACGGTTGGACCAGTCTAGTCGACTATTCAGGACCAGCCTACCACGGCTGGTTGCGCCACGATATACAGTGTGTAGCTGCATGGTTATCAATAGCAATTTTCATAGCTTAATGCAGAGGGGACCAACTGTCAAAAATGGCGGAAATACGAAAACTGTGTGCGAGTGATAAGTTTCGTTTTCATTGCATACTTTTTCCATGTTAATTTACGAGTCTGTAACTTTTTCACCATTGCAAATTAGTGATGGCTATTATGTAGGTGTCCTTAACTACACAATCACTAATATTAAATAAACAGAAACATCAAGTGTTTCTTTAGCCTACGTGCGACCGCCATTTTCTCGTGGCCGTTGACTTGACAATAGTGCGACTATAATCGTTCGCACCTCAACTTGAGTGCGCATGCGCTATGTACGTCACGAATCAACTACTAGTTAACCATTAGTCCTTGATCGAACTTGCTCAATGAATCGATTTTACTACAAGAGCTGTGATTCACAACTCCATGAGTGTATCAATAGCCAATGGCGGATCCAGGAGGGGGGGGGGGGGGGGGGCAAAGGGGGCCATGGCCCCCCCCCCAAAAAAAACGAAACCATTTTTTAATGTTTTTATGTGACATCGCAATAAAGGCAGGCAATGAGTACACCACCATCTTTTCCTCAAAAAAACATTGGTTAAAGTGGTCAGAAATTGCCTCAGATCGCACCACAGAGCATCTAGAATCCAATCCAGAGCATCTAGAATCAAATTTTTCGGGGCCCTTAAGCGGGCCCCGAACCCCACGCCGTAATTTTTTTGACCCACTTTTTGGGGGGATTTTTTTGCCCCCCCCAAAAATTTTGTTCTGGATCCGCCCTTGTCAATAGCGCCCTCTTTCATTGCGACTGGTCATTATACCATGCGCCAGTTAAGTTGCACAAGTATTGCGTCCAATATTTTGCCATGATATTTGACACAAGAATGTTCACAATTGAAAGAAACCGTGAGAGAATGAGGGTAATATAATGTAAGGAAAAAACACTCCGTATTATCGTCATCAATTTCTTCCAAAAGAGGGCGCGCTACTCGCCGCGCGCCGACCTCTCTGTCCTTTCGCGATGTGAACAAAGTTAGTTTAAGCCCGAAAACTTAAAAAAAACACCACACAATTACATTGAAATGATATTGCGTCCAATAATTGCCATTATATTTGACACAAGAATCTGGAAAATTGACAGAAACTGTGAAAGAATTAATTTGATATAATTTAAAGAAATTGCAGTGTGAGGACACTCCGTGTTATCGTCATCAATTTCTTCCAAAAGAGGGCGCGCTACATAAACATTGCAGGTCACCTCGTCGACTTCTGCCCATTCGCAACGTAAACAAAGCATTGTAAGCTCGAAAAATCAAGAGAAACACATCGGATTGAACTGATATTGCGTCCTATATTTTGCCATGATATTTGACACAAGAATCTGGAAAATTGACAGAAACCGTGAAAAAAAGAAAGTAATATAATTGAAGGAATTGCAGTGTAAGGTCGACTCACGGTATATCGTCATCAATTTCTTCCAAAAGAGGGCGCGCTACATAAATTGCGAACACATTCTCGTAAAAGGTGGTCCGGTACTTCTGTCTTAACTTATCCTTTATGATGAGGCTTGCGGTTTTTGCCGAAGTCAATTGAGCGTGATAGGCCGTCTGATAAGGTTGTGCACAAAACCCCAGCGCTTGGGGTTTTGTGTAGAATGATTAGAGGACCACTTTTTACGGCAATGTGTCCGTAATGGGAATTTGGTAATAAAACCGGTTCGCACCGATTGATACCCTTATTCCGCACTCCAGATATTGTATCGCAAGTTATAAATTATCAACATGGCTGTTATGTAGCGAGCGGCGTATACAGCTTTTTATGGCCGGCCAGGGTGGGGCAAATTTAAGACTTTTCTGTATCGACGTCTGAACCGCCTTAAAGTTACTGTGCTTTTTGTTTTATGCCAACTAAATGCCGCCCCCACTCGGGCACAAACAAACAGCCTCCCATAACTCATTATAAAAACTTAACCTGACCAAAATGTTTCAGTTATACTACTTTCAACCTGACGAAAATTTGAGCAGCTTGCGACAGTAAATTTCATTCTAGAAATGGTAGTTAAAACAGTAGGGAGACATTCAATCTAATGCTAATGTCTCTCTAGAAAGTGTCTCCTGAAGATATCATTTTGGTGTCGGGTGACAAAGATCACGTATTAAGGAGAAATCTATCGTGTGTCTCGATTTGAAGACCATGATTTTTATTTCAATCTTGATAATTCCAAACAACTTAGTTCCATTCATTTGAACTTGTACTTTTTTTTATAATAGTAAATCATGTCGAACACAAATCCCACATTAAAGGCACAATGGTACTACAATTGACCTATCGCTATTTGCGAGTTAGCCACGCCCCTTAGACAACCCTATGTTGTTGTGTACGTTAAGTTTCGTTTGTCTCAGATTTTGCGCCTTCTGCGTCCATTTGTCTATCATGTAATTGGACAATATTTCACAAGCTGCGTTGACGCGATTCTATCCGCGAAACTTAAAAAGTAATTAACCTATCGCGTTAGAATTGCGTCAAGGCAGCTTGTGATATATTGTCCAACTACATGATATACAAATAGACGCGGAACGCTCAAAATCTGAGACAAACAAAATTTAGTGTACAAAAATTCCATAGGGTTGTCTAAGGGGCGTGGCTAACTTGCAAACGATATAGGGTCAATTACTGGAATGATTCCTCTAATTCTGAAAAAAAAGTGACTGAATGACAGTTATATCTAACAAAAATCTCAGCCAGGTTGCCCGCTCTTAACAATTCGAAATAACAACTCAAAATACTTAGACGAGAAATAAACAAAATAATTACCAATACAAAAATATAGGCAAAAAGGCAATCAAAAAAAAAACAAAACAAAAAACAATAACAAAGATTGGAATATAGTAATGATGCTCATAAAAGAAATTATAATTATCAAACGATTTGCACAAAAATAACAGAACGATTGTAATGATACCGACCACATCATCAATTCTTCTTTTGCGGTAGCACCATGTGAATAAATCTCTTTTCTGAGTATGTGTGGTTCTGAAAAGAACCGGAGGGACTCAACGTTTAGAACAGTATGCTCTGCCCGTCGTCAGGAGAAATTGACGGCGGGCAGAGCATACTGTTCGTAACGTTGAGTCCCTCCGGTTCTTTTCAGAACCACACATACTCACAAAAGAGATTTATTCACATGTTTCTACCGCAAACTCATCTTGTCTTAGTATCTTTCCACCATGCAAACCTTCAAATGGGTAGGCAGGCCTTAGGGCTACAGTGTTTAAGTACACTTTTGTTGACCCTGGCCGGTTTGGAATGTTATATTGTCCTTGTTTTCTGTCCCTCTATCTCCTCTCCCCTGTCAAACTGTCCACCCTCCCTTCCCTCCCCCCTCGACTCATTCCTTCTCGCATCCTTCAGTCTTGTCTGGTCATACTTTTTCAATTTCCAATTTTGTTTACTTTTTGATATATCTTTGCTTTGTCATTGTACTTTTGTTCATTTGTTGACCGAATAAATAAAAATAATAATAATAAATCTTAAGTCTTCTTTTACACTGATTTAGAGCTAATTCACAAAAGGTTTGATGTTTAATTAAATAGTTTGGTTGCGTTTCTTAGTCCCCGGTATAGGCTCAAACCATGGAACCCCAAGGGATCATCGCCCGATGTGGCTGGCATCTAATACCTCTTCTCGAACTGGAAGGCGTTGAGACCAGGTTCGAAAATCGGATTTGGTTCTGTGCAAAGAAAAGAAGTGAACATAAGTGAATAAAAGGTTTGCAAAAACACCACGTGGAAATAATTTCTCAAACTAAGAGAACGGTTCTGAAAAGAACCAGAGATATAAACTCGACGTTCCGGTCAGTATGCTCTGACCGTCTTCAGGAGAGTGCCTTAACTCTGGAAAAAGTAAACATATATTAAAGTACAAAATGCAAATCGACTAAGTGTGAACATGCATCCTGTGGGAACGCCTGAAAATGAGTGAACAAAATATGATGTTTGTCCTAACTGAAACTTTGTCGTATCCGTGTTCGTGTTACGCGATTTTGTCCCATAGTGGAGTGCACTATTCTTTCAGGAGTGAAGATTCATGTTCGTTATAAACCGTTTTAATTGGAATAAATAGTAATTCATGCGGAGCGATTACAACCGAAGCGAGTGAAAACACACTTGTGACGACACAATGTCGTCATTTGTAAATGAACGTACGCAACAGTAGGCTCAAAAAGTCATCGATTATACATATAGTGTATGTCAAAATTGTCCGTTTCGGGCTTTGGCCATAGTTATTCCATACAGTATAAGGAAAATCTATGGTTATTCCTAGCGATTCGTCAGTCGGGCACATGCAGAAGTCCTTGTCAACACACACGCACACAAATCAAAGATGGCTGACGCAGCAGAATAAGTTTGCTGCCACCAAGTGATTGGGCTTATCCTAGTGATTTATCAAAGCATGCGTTTACCTGCGCAGTCGCTTATGGGCAGTTTCGTCAGCTTCTTTTGATTCGCCTTCAAACGCTCACAGTTGACGTTGACGTATTGACAGCTGCAACATAATCACATAAATAAATCCGATTTAAACATGACAATATTACCAAAATAAAAAAAAAACAGAAATGGAAATGGTTTACAGTTCAAGGTAAAAGGGACCGGACACGATTTGATAATAAGTGTTACTCCAAATGACAGATTGTTGCTGCTAGGCACATGATTTTACAGACTGAACGGTTTTGTTAAACAAGAAAAAGAAGAAACAGAAAACAAACTAAACAAACAAATAAACAAACAAACAAATAAATTAACCCAACACACAGCCTCGCTCCCGAATGACGCCCGTGCCTTTCTAGTTGTAAATATCATACCGCCACAGCGAGCATCACATCAAAATGTCAACCAAGCCTTTAACAGACAATAGTCTGCATTGCTTGACTAGTAAAATAAATACTGACTACGGCCGGCAGTTACCACACAAGTCTATAGGGAGTGGCTTCCGCAACTTCCATAGGCGCGTGTAATGGACTGATCCAGTAAGCACCGCCCCATGGTGTTCTGACCAATCACAGCCGAGATTTATATCCGACGTGCGTGCGCTAAAGTCCAACATGCGTTCACGCGCGTATGGTGCGCGCGGAAGGAAAATGCAGTCATTGGAGAGGAGCACGTGTCAGTTTGCTCACGTGCGCACTGGGAGGAGCTTACTGGATCGGTCCATTGCCAGCCGTAGCCAGGTAAATGCATGGACGCAGCCACTGGTCAACAAGACTTACTCATTCAGGAAGGTGACCTTCTTATTTTGCACAGGATCGTCGGCGCAGATTCCCATGCCAATCTTGAGGTCGCTGCACTCGTACATCTTGCACTTGCACACCGGTTCTCCGCTCTCCGCGCTGCACTTTTCGAACTTGCCGCAGGAGAAACCAGGCTTCTTACAAGCATCTGTGGCAGAGAGAAAAAAAAAGACCGGAAAACTTTTTTTAAGGAGTCTTTTCCGGATAAGATGACGTAGAAATGGCAGAAATTAACACTATATTAATTGTACAACAGTTTGAACAGGTGACAAAAGTCAATGTTAATCATGTTACCATCGTTAATGTTAACTGTGAGTTGTTCAGCGTTTTTTTCTTTTTTTTCGGAGAAGTAAAAAGTTTATACACAATGTTCTCCTGTTTATCTACTCCATGAAACTGGCCCCGACTCTTTAACAAAAATGAGTCCGATGTCGCAAGAATACAGTCCCACGTTGAGTTTATTGTCAAAGAATTATGTTATGGCTATGCGAATAATACATTAGGCCTATATTTATAATTTATTAACAAAGTGGTTAACGATTCGAAAAAGTAACGATAGTTCATAGATGGAATTTGCATCGAACCAGCCTGTCGAACCCGGCAAGTTTGGTGGTCTAGTGGGCAGACGTCTGCACTATAGTTAGCATGAGGTCGAGGTTCGAGTCCCACTCGAGTAGTTTATGACTTTTTTTCTCACAATCAAATCGGGACTATCGAGCATGAAAGTTCGTTCTCTGTCCCATTATTATATCAATTAAATAAAAGATACCTTTTTGAGACTTTAATTACAGAACTCGTATCGTGAGGGCCTCAACAACACCAGTTGACAAAGACACCGTGATGGTGTCTCAAGCTCCTGATACGAGCTCTGTTATCAAAGTCTCAAAAAGGTATCTTTTATTTAATTAAATCGGGACTACACTGAGTATATACAGTGTTTATAAATATACGTTGGTGAGGGGCCAGTGACAACTAGCTATGCTTCTACTAAGCTGCATTTGCAGTATTATTTGTCTCCTCCTAGGAGGAACAGTCGTACCTTCACATCGCCCATGACCACCTTTCTCCTCGCCAGCAGCACAATGTAGTCCTTGGATGCAGTCACCATCTTTAGAGCACGATTCGTCTTTTGAGGAGCCGCACGAGCAGTAACAGCCCAAGTCGTCCATGTACACGGCCGAGAATAAGCCAAAAGTCTGAGCCGGTGTGCATGTGCACTGCTCCGTCTGAAGCACACAAAAAGAGAATCAAAATACTATTGAGGTCGAACAAAGATGACTGTAGCAATATTTTAAACAGCAACCCGAGGAAAGCTAGACTGGCGTGCCACCTACTGAGCTATCGGAGCTATTGATGATTATTTGATATCTTTTAGCCTGGCACTTTGTACCTTCGTCCAGGAATGATTGTTTAGCCTCATCCAAAAACGGAATATATTAAAACACGACGTTTCGATATTCTAAGGAACTGAACGCGGATTGCGTAACCTTAACTTTTTCTTTCCAGAACGACCTTTTTAACCCTTCTCCCACAGAAATGTTTCCAATGTGTTCTCTTGAAACTTGCCTAGAGTTTTATACCCTAACTGTTTAATCATATGGAATGCCACCTTCTGAATTTCTGAAAAAGCATCAACTTACTTAATCAAATTCGTTCTGTCGACCCCGGCCTACTACAGACTATTGCTAAAGCCTTGCGTCGCCCCGTAATCTTCTCACCAAATCAAGGTAACCAGCAAAATCAACAATTTCTTGAGCAACAGTTTTTTGAAATAACTCACTGCCTGCCACCAAACTTACGTCACAAAATGAGACATGCAGATCCTCCACGTGGATCGACCTCGCCACTGCCAACAGGCAGACGATCACCAAAGCGATTGCCTTCATTTCGTTTAGGTGGGAAAATCCTCGATGCTAGACACAAGAACACTAAACAGTTTCGGTCGACGGAAAGTTATACTTGGATTGACTAAACAGTGAGGTTCTAGTGGTCGTTAAGACGGGAGCTAATGTTATAATGGACGGCTGTTCTTTTTCACATCGGCTAAGCTGACGTGTCTATATCAGAACGAATACTCTCCGTCGAGTGCGCAATTTAAATGACGAATGGCATACGGGGACGAGCTAAGAAATGTTGCGCATCCCGGGAACAATGCAGCAAAACTTTCTGGCCGACCCTAGTATATGAACAACTGAGACATTTTTTTACGCCGAGCATTGTTGAGTAGAACCCTGAACAACGTACACCTGTGATTTTTGTGATTCCATTTGTGCAAACTCGGACCGGAGGCGGGCTTTTGACGGCACGGCAAAAAGTCAATATTCACGTTCACTTACAGATGTCGACACAATTTCCACGAAATCGATATCTCCTTTATGAAGAATCACGGCAGATGGGCGTTGCCATGGCAAACTATTGATTGATGATTAAGGAATATGGTCTTAATATTATCAAAATGTTATCAGTGATTTTTTTAATTAACTTCTTTCCATTATTTGCTGAAGCAATCTCAACATATAACGACAGTCGGTTTTTGTGATAAAACACTCACCGATCAAGAACAGAAATGCACAAAATACATACATCAGCGTCATTATTTCAAAATCTGGGATGTCTGCATACCGATTAATGATCCTCTTGCACGCAGAGAAGTGTAAGCGTTTTAGGGAAAAAACAAGTAAATATTTGGCCAAATTCGTAAAAAATGAAAGGATTGCACCTTGATTTTTTTTTTTACAAATTTGTGTGGACAAATGGACATTTCGAATGAATTTCCGTATTTTTAGGAGAAAAGCAATTTTTGACCAAATTTGATTAAAAATGTCAGGCTAACCCCTTGCAATTTTTTTTTGGGGGGCAAAAAAACCCCCAATTGCTTCCAACTTGCAGAAAAGATGCCCAAGGGACCCCAGAACACATTTCAATGCCGATTGTGGACAGATGGACTTTTCAAAGGAATTCCTGTATTGTTTGAAGAAAAGTTAATTTTTGTCCAAATTTGATTAAAACTGTAAGGCTAACCCCTTGCTTTTTTTTTAAATTTCGCCCAAAAAATAAAATTGCTTCAAACTTGCAGGAAAGATGCCTAAGGGACCCCAGAACACATTCCAATGCCATTTGTGAACAGATGGACTTTTCAAAGGAATTTCTGTATTGTTTGGAGAAAAGTAAATTTTTGGCCAAATTTGATTAAAAATCTAAGGCTAACCCCTTGTATTTTTTTGAACTTTGCCTAATAAATTAAATTGCTTCAAACTTGCAAAAAAGATGCCTAAGGGACCCCAGAACACATTCCAATGCCATTGACTTTTCAAAGGAGTTTCTGTATTGTTTGGAGAAAAGTACATTTTTGGCCAAATTTGATTAAAAATCTAAGGCTAACCCCTTGTAATTTTTTGAACTTTGCCTAAAAAATTAAATTGCTTCAAACTTGCAAAAAAGATGCCTAAGGGACCCCAGAACACATTCCAATGCCGTTTGTGAACAGATGGACTTTTCAAAGGAGTTTCTGTATTGTTTGGAGAAAAGTACATTTTTGGGCAAATTCCTTGCTTTTTTTTTTACAATTTTGTCCAAAAAATAAAGTTGCTTCAAACTTGCAGGAAAGATGCCTTATGGACCCTGGAACACATTCCAATGCGATTTGTGGACAGATGGACTTTTCAAAGGAATTCCTGTTTTGTTTGGAGAAAAGTTAATTTTTGGCCAAATTTGATTAAAAATGTAAGGCTAACCCCTTGCATTTTTTTTGAAATTTGTCCAAAAAAAAAATTGCTTCAAACTTGCAGGAAAGATGCCTAATGGACCCTGGAACACATTCCAATGCAATTTGTAAACCGATGGACTTTTCAAAGGAGTTTCTATATAGTTTGGAGAAAAATAAATTTTTGGCCAAATTTGATTAAAACTGTAAGGCTAACCCCTTGCTTTTTTTTTAAATTTCGCCCAAAAAATAAAATTGCTTCAAACTTGCAGGAAAGATGCCTAAGGGACCCCAGAACACATTCCAATGCCATTTGTGAACAGATGGACTTTTCAAAGGAATTTCTGTATTGTTTGGAGAAAAGTAAATTTTTGGCCAAATTTGATTAAAAATCTAAGGCTAACCCCTTGTATTTTTTTGAACTTTGCCTAAAAAATTAAATTGCTTCAAACTTGCAAAAAAGATGCCTAAGGGACCCCAGAACACATTCCAATGCCATTGACTTTTCAAAGGAGTTTCTGTATTGTTTGGAGAAAAGTACATTTTTGGCCAAATTTGATTAAAAATCTAAGGCTAACCCCTTGTAATTTTTTGAACTTTGCCTAAAAAATTAAATTGCTTCAAACTTGCAAAAAAGATGTCTAAGGGACCCCAGAACACATTCCAATGCCGTTTGTGAACAGATGGACTTTTCAAAGGAGTTTCTGTATTGTTTGGAGAAAAGTACATTTTTGGGCAAATTTGATCAAAAATGTAAGGCTAACCCCTTGCTTTTTTTTTTACAATTTTGTCCAAAAAATAAAGTTGCTTCAAACTTGCAGGAAAGATGCCTTATGGACCCTGGAACACATTCCAATGCGATTTGTGGACAGATGGACTTTTCAAAGGAATTCCTGTTTTGTTTGGAGAAAAGTTAATTTTTGGCCAAATTTGATTAAAAATGTAAGGCTTACCCCTTGCATTTTTTTTGAAATTTGTCCAAAAAAAAAATTGCTTCAAACTTGCAGGAAAGATGCCTAATGGACCCTGGAACACATTCCAATGCAATTTGTAAACCGATGGACTTTTCAAAGGAGTTTCTATATAGTTTGGAGAAAAATAAATTTTTGGCCAAATTTGATTAAAAATGTAAGGCTAACCCCTTGTATTTTTTTGAATTTTGCCCAAAAAATTAAATTGCTTGAAACTTGCAAAAAAGATGCCTAATGGACCCCAGAACACATTCCAATGCCATCGCTGGACACATGGACTTTTCAAAGGAATTCCTGTATTGTTTGGAGAAAAGTTAATTTTTGGCCAAATTTGATTAAAAATGTAAGGCTAACCCCTTGCATTTTGTTTGAAATTTGGCCAAAAAATTAAATTGCTTCAAACTTGCAGAAAAGATGCCTAAGGGACCCTGGAACACATTCCAATTCGAATCCTGGACGGATGGACATTTCAAAGGAATTTCTGTATTTTTAGGATAAAATCAATTTTTGATCAAATTTGATTAAAAATGAAAGGCTTACCCCTTGCATTTTTTTGAAATTTGCCCAAAAAATTAAGTTGCTTCAAACTTGCAGGAAAGATGCCTAAGGGGCCCCAGAACACAATCCAATTCGATTTCAGGACAGATGGAAATTTCAAAGGAATTTCTGTGTTGTTTGGAGAAAAGTACATTTTTGGCCAAATTTGATTAAAAATGTAAGGCTTACCCCTTGTATGTTTTTGAATTTTGCCCCCAAAATAAAGTTGCTTCAAACTTGCAGAAAAGATGCCCAAGAGACCCCAGAACACATTCCAATGCCGTTTGTGGACAGATGGACTTTTCAAAGGAATCCCTGTATTGTTTGAAGAAAAGTAAATTTTTGGCCAAATTTGATTAAAACTGTAAGGCTCACCCCTTGCATTTTTTTTGAAATTTGTCCAAAAAAAAATTGCTTCAAACTTGCAGGAAAGATGCCTAATGGACCCTGGAACACATTCCAATGCAATTTGTAAACCGATGGACTTTTCAAAGGAGTTTCTATATAGTTTGGAGAAAAATAAATTTTTGGCCAAATTTGATTAAAAATGTAAGGCTAACCCCTTGTATTTTTTTGAATTTTGCCCAAAAAATTAAATTGCTTGAAACTTGCAAAAAAGATGCCTAATGGACCCCAGAACACATTCCAATGCCATCGCTGGACACATGGACTTTTCAAAGGAATTCCTGTATTGTTTGGAGAAAAGTTAATTTTTGGCCAAATTTGATTAAAAATGTAAGGCTAACCCCTTGCATTTTGTTTGAAATTTGGCCAAAAAATTAAATTGCTTCAAACTTGCAGAAAAGATGCCTAAGGGACCCTGGAACACATTCCAATTCGAATCCTGGACGGATGGACATTTCAAAGGAATTTCTGTATTTTTAGGATAAAATCAATTTTTGATCAAATTTGATTAAAAATGAAAGGCTTACCCCTTGCATTTTTTTGAAATTTGCCCAAAAAATTAAGTTGCTTCAAACTTGCAGGAAAGATGCCTAAGGGGCCCCAGAACACAATCCAATTCGATTTCAGGACAGATGGAAATTTCAAAGGAATTTCTGTGTTGTTTGGAGAAAAGTACATTTTTGGCCAAATTTGATTAAAAATGTAAGGCTTACCCCTTGTATGTTTTTGAATTTTGCCCCCAAAATAAAGTTGCTTCAAACTTGCAGAAAAGATGCCCAAGAGACCCCAGAACACATTCCAATGCCGTTTGTGGACAGATGGACTTTTCAAAGGAATCCCTGTATTGTTTGAAGAAAAGTAAATTTTTGGCCAAATTTGATTAAAACTGTAAGGCTCACCCCTTGCTTTTTTTTAAATTTTGCCCAAAAAATTAAAATGCTTCAAACTTGCAAAAAAGATGCCTAAGGGACCCCAGAACACATTCCAATGCCATTTGTAAACCGATGGACTTTTCAAAGGAGTTTCTGTATGGTTTGGAGAAAAGTAAATTTTTGGCCAAATTTGATTAAAAATGTAAGGCTAACCCCTTGTATTTTTTTGAATTTTGCCCAAAAATTAAATTGCTTGAAACTTGCAAAAAAGATGCCTAATGGACCCCAGAACACATTCCAATGCCATTGGTGGACACATGGACTTTTCAAAGGAATTCCTGTATTGTCTGGAGAAAAGTTAATTTTTGGCCAAATTTGATTAAAAATGTAAGGCTAACCCCTTGCATTTTGTTGGAAATTGGGCCAAAAAATGAAAAGATGCCTAAGGGACCCCAGAACAAATTCCAATGCCATTTGTAAACCGATGGACTTTTCAAAGGAATTCCTGTATTGTTTGGAGAAAAGTTAATTTTTTGGCCAAATTTGATTAAAAATGTAAGGCTAACCCCTTGTGCAAACTTGCAGAAAAGATGCCTAAGGGACCCTGGAACACATTCCAATTCGAATCCTGGACGGATGGACATTTCAAAGGAATTTCTGTATTTTTAGGATAAAATCAATTTTTGATCAAATTTGATTAAAAATGTAAGGCTTACCCCTTGCATTTTTTTGAAATTTGCCCAAAAATTAAGTTGCTTCAAACTTGCAGGAAAGATGCCTAAGTGGCCCCAGAACACAATCCAATTCGATTTCAGGACGGATGGAAATTTCAAAGGAATTTCTGTATTGTTTGGAGAAAAGTACATTTTTGGCCAAATTTGATTAAAAATGTAAGGCTTACCCCTTGTATTTTGTTTGAAATTTTACCCCCAAAATAAAGTTGCTTCAAACTTGCAGAAAACATGCCCAAGGGACCCCAGAACACATTCCAATGCCGTTTGTGGACAGATGGACTTTACAAAAGTTCCTGTTTTGTTTGAAGAAAAGTTAATTTTTGGCCAAATTTGATTAAAAATGTAAGGCTAACCCCTTTGAATTTGTTTGAATTTTGCCCAAAAAATAAAGTTGCTGCAAACTTGCAGGAAAGATGCCTAATGGACCCTGGAACACATTCCTGCAATATTTGGAGAAAAGTACATTTTTGGCCAAATTTGATTAAAAATGTAAGGCTAACCCCTTGTATGTTTTTGAATTTTGCCCCCAAAATAAAGTTGCTTCAAACTTGCAGAAAAGATGCCCAAAGGACTCCAGAACACATTCCAATGCCGTTTGTGGACAGATGGACTTTTCAAAGGAATTCCTGTATTGTTTGAAGAAAAGTTAATTTTTGGCCAAATTTGATTAAAAATGTAAGGCTAACCCCTTGCTTTTTTCCGAAATTTGTCCAAAAAATAAAATTGCTGCAAACTTGCAGAAAAGATGCCTCATGGACCCCAGAACACATTCCAATTCGATTTCTGGACGCATGGACATTTCACAGGAATTGCTGTATTGTTCGGAGAAAAGTACATTTTTGACCAAATTTGATTAAAAAGGTAAGGCTAACCGCTTGCATTTTTTTAAAATTTTGGCCAAAAAATAATATTGCTTCAAACTTGCTGGAAAGCTGCCTAAAGGACCCTAGAACACATTCCAATTCGATTTCTGGACGCATGGACATTTCAAAGGAATTGCTGTGTTGTTTGGAGAAAAGTACATTTTTGTCCAAATTTGATTAAAAATGTAAGGCTAACCCCTAGCATTTTTTTTTAAATTTTGGCCAAAAAATAAAATTGCTTCAAACTTGCAGGAAAGATGCCTAAAGGACCCCGGAACACATTCCAATGCAATTTCTGGACGGATGGATATTCCAAAGGAATTCCTGTATTGTTTGGAGAAAAGTTAATTTTTGGCCAAATTTGATTAAAAATGTAAGGTTAACCCCTTGCTTTTTTTTTTTAAAAATTTCCAAAAAATAAAATTGCTTCAAACTTGCATGAAAGATGCCTAATGGACCCTGGAACACATTCCTGCAATGTTTGGAGAAAAGTTAATTTGTGGCCAAATTTGATAAAAATGTGAGGCGAACAAATTGAATGGCAAGCCAGAACAATTATTTTTAGTCAAAAAAACGGTCAACTGTGTGGTTTATTTACATAATTACACATACATACAACAGCTGGACAGGCTCCAAGGGCACATTCTCCATCGCACTTGCTCCAGGCAGAACCAATCAATATTAACAAAACAAACGGTGACTGCATAATTGAGTGCTACGCAAAGAGCAACAAGCTAATCAATACAAAATTCATTCTGTGTTCAGTTCATCGTCAAAGATAATTTACTGCCCAATATCTGGTATTTTTCCCTTACACTGTAAACAGCAGTTTCAAAATGGAAGTTTAAAAATACAGGGCGAGTCAAAAAAAAAAAGGAAACCCAAATGTCGAGACCAAGTTCTGCATGTAGCACTTTCAAAATCTAGGATATGAAAGCCCAATTCATAAGCTTTCTTTAAGTACAAGAATCATTCAAATCACTGAGGTACTTTTTAAGTTACGGAGTTTAAACACAACCACCGTTTAAAAGTTCTGTCCACGGATCACAAAAAAAGGTGTGTGTTCTTTCAGCAAAATGAAAACAGTTCACACACATCCCTATGTCATCTCTTTTTTTTTTTTGCAGAAAGAACACTTAACTTTTTTGTGATCCATTGACAGAACCTTAAAACGGCGGTTGTGTTTAAAACTCCATAACTTGAAAAGTATACAAGTGATTTGAATGATTCTTGTACTAAAACAAAGCTTATGAATTTAGCTTTCATATCCTAGAGTTTGAAAGTGCTACATGCACAACTTCACTAAAACAATGGTCCCGACATTTGGGTTTCGACTTTTGTTTTACTCACCCTGTTGTTTTTTTTTTCGACATCAGCTTTGTTTCACTAGATATAACTTATTGAAATAGTCTCTCGTCAATGGCGTTGAGCACACATCAAATTTTTGTGACGCGCAGCGGCTGCGCTGTATTTCAAAGAAATTTCGAGCAACACGGGCGCGTTTTTAGAACATTTTGCACACTGCGCGCATACGGATCTGGTGGCGTTGAACACGCAGTTGTAACTTTCCTACGAAGATGGCGTCCTATGAGAGAGATCTATTTGATGCCAATCATTACGGTGAACTCAGTTCAAATTTCTTAAATAAGTTTTAACGGCTTAACTAGGGGCCCTTCCTAATCTAATGTAGGCAACTGTTCATATCACACAAGGAAGACCTTAGTGCAAGCAATAAAGTGTAGAGTCTAACTGAAATTTGTCAAAGCGATGAATTTGGGATATGTAGCACGATATGAGACGGAGGGAGCCCCCCCCCCTTCTTTGTGTTGGTCATTGTGTTACCAGAATCTCAGGAAATCTTTTGAGATATCTAGAGGGGATGTGTTAGGTAACAATAGTCTAGGGGTTTGCATAGGGTACCCGTCCATCTCATATTGTGCTGGGTATAGTCGGGCATTGAAGTTTGCCCATCTGAAGGAGCTCTACTTCTTGTGGGCCGTCGGTTGGGTCTGGGGTTGCGTCTGTTGCTGTTGTTGCTCACTGTCCAACGTCTTGAGAAGTCGGAACAGGCCGGCCGCCTCACGGATGTGGCTGAACTCAATGCAGAAAGCCTGCATCTCAATGGAAAGATCCTAGAGATAGGAAAAGTGGAGGGGGAGGTACAAAAAAGGGAATTATCATCTCAAAGAAAAATTGCCTGCATTCCTGTGGATAAGCAAGAGCAGAGACTTTATCATGTCATCATAAGTGATCATAAGTCATCACAAGTCAATTTCAAGTCGTTGCAAGACAGTCATATGTTATCTTAAGTCATCTGAAGTCGTTGAGAGTCAATTACCAAGTACTGAATCACTAAAGCCAGCGCATCATCACAAGCGATCACTAGTCATCACAAGCCATCACAAATCATCACAAGTCATCACAAGTCATCACAAGCCATCTTAAGTCATCACAAGTCATCAACGGTCATCACAAGCCATCACAAGTTGTCAAAAATGATCATCAAGTCATAACAAGTCACTACAAGCCATCACAAGTCACGACAAACCATCACAAGTCAATCACAAGTCACAGCAAGCCATCAAAAGTTGTCACAAGTCATCACAAGCTATCATAAGTTATCACAAGTCAATAAGAAGACAATCATAGGTCATCAAAGTTTAATCACATAATCATTACAATTAACCACAAATCCATCACTAGTTAATCACAAGACAAGCTATTGAAATCAATTCTTGACAATGGCATTCACGTGTCAATGTTCGTCCTCTGTTACTAGTAAATGTCTTCTCACTGAATTTTGATTTTATTCTGATCAGCACTTGCACTTTAACTGACAATGAATTACATTTCAAGAAGTCTTTTCAAAAGTAGATGGTCCATGGAGGTTGTTTTCCATCCATGAAATCTACTGGTAATAAAATTAAAATTTTGAAATGTGAGAACTTTTGAGTTCAGCATTCGACATACCTTCACATTGATGATTTTATTCCGTATGAGCGACTGGAGAAACACACACACCTGTAAAATCACAAAAAGACAAGAGTGATAATAATGGGCTGGTACAATGGTAAATCTTTGGCCCGGGTTCCAATCCCACCTAGGCCGATGAAGAAGTTTTTCACGGTTCTTACCTGATAAAGGGGTGTGGCCTAGTGGTTAGGGGTGTTAACTACCAGTACGACCTTTAATCAAGGTTAGCTTTTAGATGATGATTTGCTGGGTTACTTTTGGGATAAATGCAAATGATCATATACGCCTTTAACCCTAACCCCCTAGGGCCTCTTTGCTAGGAACCATCCTCAATCCTCCAAAATCCTCCAAAATTGTTCACTCATGTTCAAATGAAGGATGCCATGCGCCTCAATCCTTCAAAATGATCAGACAGTCCTGCCTCTCAAAATGCATTCATCTTTAATCCTGCAAAATCCTACTCTTTATTCAAACACCATTCATCCTCAATCCTCCAAAATCCTCATGTGCTTCAACAACATTAATTCTTAATCCTCCAAAATCCTTGTGTTTCTCAAACACCGTTCATCCTCAATCCTCCAAAATTCTCCAAAACCGCTAGGAGGATTTTGGAGGATCGAGGAGGGTTGGGGTTAATCTAGTCCCAGTTCCAAACTTGACAACAAACTCAAAAGAGTCCAGTCTATGGCTACTACTTACCAATCTGACAAGTCTGTTCTGCATGTACTTGTCTTTGATGGTTTCGCACGTCGTGATGCAGTTGGAGATGTACAGATGGACAAACTCTTGAGGCAATTCAACAGCCTGCAATAATTTGTAAAAAAATATTATTTGACAGAAACCTGAAGGAAAAGACGACACTCTCAGGCATCTGTGAAATTCTGGTAACAAGTAATTTAATCAAAAATCTTTCTTTGCACTTTTTTTAAGCGGAGTTTTTTGCTGGATTAATGATAACATAACTTTGCAAACTGGCAAATTTGTTGCAGAAAAAAAACACCCGTTTAATTCCTGATGGGTTACAAAGTGCTTGTGTTCTTGGGCAAAACACTTTACTACAATCGTCTCCCTCCATCCAGGAGTACAAATTGGGTACCTCTGAGGGTAGCGACCAGACTGCACGGCTCTCAAGCCTCTGCAGAAATCTGACCTCTTGACAGGGAAATGGTGCTTGTGTCCTCGGGCAAGACACTTTACTACAATTGCTTCTCTCCGCCCAGGAGTATAAATGGGTACCTGTGAGGGTAGAGGCCAGATTGCTCTGATGCTTGTTTTCTTGGGCAAGACACTTTACTACAATTGCCTCTCTCCACCCAGGAGTACAAATGGGTACCTGTGAGGGTAGAGGCCAGATTGCGCTGATGCTTGTGTTCTTGGGCAAGACACTTTACTACAATTGTCTCTCGCCACCCAGGAGTATAACGGGGTACATGTGAGGGTAGAGGCCAGATTGCGCTGATGCTTGTGTTCTTGGGCAAGGCACTTTACTACAATTGCCTCTCTCCATCAAGGAGTACAAATGGGTACCTGTGAGGGTAGAGACCAGATTGCTCTGATGCTTGTTTTCTTGGGCAAGACACTTTACTACAATTGCCTCTCTCAACCCAGGAGTACAAATAGGTACCTGTGCGGGTAGAGACCAGATTGCGCTAATGCTTGTGTTCTTGGGCAAGGCACTTTACTACAATTGCCTCTCTCCACCCAGGAGTACAAATGGGTACCTGTGAGGGTAGAGACCAGATTGCGCTGATGCTTGTGTTCTTGGGCAAGACACTTTACTACAATTGCCTCTCTCCACCCAGGAGTACAAATGGGTACCTGTGAGGGTAGAGACCAGATTGTGCCGATGCTTGTGTTCTTGGGCAAGACACTTTACTACAATTGTCTCTCTCCACCCAGGAGACTAAATGGGTACCGGTGAAGGTACAGACCAGATTGGGCTAAATCGAGCTGCTGCAGAAAACTAGTCTCATGGCCTGATGAACAGGGGTAATACTGGAGAAACACTTCAGGAGCTTCGGTATAAAGCACTAGATAGGCAGCACATTATCATTTTTGTTATTTACCGTTGTGAGTCGGTTGACGACTTCCATGGAGTGTAACGACATGTCCATGTTGACCAGGACGGAGAAGTACTCCGTGATCTGATTGGATTGCATCAGCCTCAGGAGGACCTCAATGGCCACGATGGGATTGTGCTCCACCAGACCAGGAAGCTGGAAAGTATTTGGACAAAACATATTATGAAGGTTTATAGAGAACGTATTATTACTTCAGAATGTCTAATATGGGACACCAATTCTGCATCCTTGAGTCACCAATTTGCCACCATGCACCCCTCCACCCATTTTGCCTACACCTTGTGGGCGTTAGCCCCATGGGATCCTTACGATTCCATTTTCGTCCATCTATGAACCCATTCACCCAGTCTGCCTACGCCCATAACACCCACCATGAGGGGTATTATCCTAATGTGTTAAACCGGTTTGGGATCCTCGCACCCCTATGTGACCCATTTAGCCAGTTTGCCTACACCCTGTGACACACTTTTGTGGGGTTAACCTCTGGTTGTAGATCACTTTGAAATTCTTACACCCAAATTCACCACCAACAAGCACCCATTCACCCAGTTTGCCCACACCCTGGTACCCACCTTGTGGGGTGTCAGCCCAATGTGGTACACCAGCTTGGGATCTTTCTCTAGCTCACTGACCAACTGTTGCTGCTGGGGTACCCACCCCTTGCCCTCGCCATAAAAGCCCCCCTTCACCCAGTTTGCCTACACCCTGGTACCCACCTTGAGGGGTGTCAGCCCAATGTGGTAGACCAGCTTGGGATCTTTCTCCAGCTCACTCAGCAACTGTTGCTGCTGGGGAAGCATCAACGTTTCCTTGAATGCTTTGGTCATCAGTCGCTTGACCTCAATTCCGGCGCTGTTGTTGACGCACATGGTGTGATCCCACGCTAGATTGTGGTCGGCCGTGACTGGATTCATCCACACCAACTGACAAAACGAAATAATTCAACAAACTTTTTAAATGTTGTAAATTGAACATTCCTGCATATGTAAAAAAATTGGAGCATGTGCTTAAAGCAGCTGCATTTTGACATAGAAAACGCGGCAAAATATTAAAAAGTAAAGATGGGTCAACATCTGCTGTTCATTATAAGCCCAGTAGTTCCTAGCACCTGTACTGCCCAAATTTGCTTTTGCTGTTATCCCTATACCGCCCCGAACTGCCCAAACTGCCCCAGTACTTATGGATTCATCAAGGAGTCCATGTACAACGAAAAACAAGAGCTTATGGGTTACTTGTATAATGTCAAATGTCAACTGCCAAAAGTAAAAGTTCTAAAAATCGTCGCCTCCGTGCAACAAGGTGGCATCGCCTAAAATGGGCGGTACGTGAACCGCGAGCGTCAGAATGTTAAAAGGTCGTATTTCACTTAAAATAACTTGGATGTACACACAAAGTCAATGGACGTCGAGATACGACACGAAGCGTATTCACGCGATATGACTTTGTTGCAGAATGACTTACAACCTTGTTGCACTGATGCGAAGAAATACAATAACAAATTATCAATAAGTTTGATGTTCTAAGTAAAAGTGCTAAGTCTTACCTCGTCCTCGCAGACGTGGAGGGGCGGGGCTAACCGAATCAGTTCCGGTCTGAAGCTGGCATCCATCGGTGGTTTGTTGCCGCACATCAGGCTCTCCATCACACTGGAAGCCATCTCGGCATCATACGTGGATCTACGGGGAGGAAATTACAATCCGTTCATTGACGGCCGCGTCTGAATTAATTTAATTGGTTAGGGCTGGTTTGGACTTAACGCAAATGCGATGCAAATGCCAATGCGAATGCATAGGGAAATTTGAATTCGTGAAACATCCACCGAATTGAAGGCCATGTCTGAATTAATTGACTATGGCTGATTTAGACTTCATGGGAATGGGAATGCGAATGCAAAGGGAAATTTGAAGTTGGGAAACATTCACTGAACTGAAGGCTACGTCTGAATTAATTGACTATGGCCGATTTAGACTTCACGCAAATGCGATGTGAATGCCAATGCGAATGCAAAGGGAAAGCTGAAGTTGGGAAACATTCACTGCAAAATTTGCCGGAGTTGAAATGCGTTTAACTTTTGTGAATTCACAGCGCGTGCAAAACTTCCTAAGACGTCACAATTTCACCTTTTGAATTTGCTTCGGCTTTCTCGCCGACTAGTATTAAGCTCCCTTACGACTTCAGCTACTTTCACTCTCAGTCAGTAACTTAGTCAATTTTGTGGGGGGGGGGGGGGGGGGGGGAGTCAGTCAGTCCGTCAGGCAGTAATAAGTCCGTCAGTCACCAGGTCAGCAACTCAGTCACTCACTCAATCAGACGTCAATAAGCCGGCCTTTGTGTCCGGCAGAAACATTCATCACAAATGTTACCTACCCAACATCTGGGTCAGGATCACTCATGATACAGGACAGCCCCGCCCGGCTCTGTAGCGGCAACTCGGACTGTCTCTCGGCGAGAGCTAACTGTAGACCAGTCAGGTCGATGGGTGGGGGGTTAGGGCCTGGGTCCATCACTACGATCTGTCGAGGCACCTTCTTGAAAAGCTGATGAGAAGAAAAGTATGCATGATTCGTTCGCCGTGACAAAAAAGTTGATGCATACCAAAGGTTCACTTATGCTAAAAAAAAGTAATAATAAATTGTCAAAACCCCACAATCCTTGCTCACTGCTAGCTGGAGTTATCCAGCCCTAAATTTTATCATTGGGTTGTCATTTAGGGCTGGAGGAAGCTTTTAACGCGAACCAGCAGAGTTGGCAGGTCCAAAAAAAAATTCAATTTTGTCCCTGTTACACACTAATTTCAACTGGAACTCACCCAAACCTTGCCTGGAATAACCATTACACAGGTCCTTGAAGTAAAAAACGATCCACGATGAAGATTTTTCCAAATTTTTTTGGGACCTGCCAACTCTGCTGGTTTGCATGAAAAGCTTCCTCCAGCCCTAAATGACAACCCAATGATAAAATTTAGGGCTTGATAACTCCAGCTAGCTCACTGCTAAACATTGCAAGATACACAGCTTGGTACAGATGAAAGCATCTCACGATGCCTGTCTCCTTTTACATGCCTTACCTCTCTCTGAGGACTTCCAGATGATGAGACAAGCTGCGACAGGAAGTACCTCTCGGCCTTCCCGATGGGCGGCATTCTGACCAGATTGTTGGCGGTGTCATCCTCTGCGCCAGCCTTGAAAGAAAAATTGATTCAGAAAACATAAAAGTTTGCATCTATTGAAACCGCTACCCGATGGAGCATCTGAAGTGTTAATTTTTTTGCCAAATATTCCTGTTCCAGTTAGAATGTTCCATGTGGATTGTGATTCATTCCTAGATAGAAAAACTGCTTCATTATTAGGCAAAACATTTGTCTACATGTACAGCAGTACATCCTCTCTTACTTCTAAATTTCTAATTAAAATTATTTCTAAATTTCTATTCTTTTGTGGACCTCACGGTCCTCACTTTAGCATCATTCTACTGCTGCAGTAGTCAGATTAAGTAATCTCTGCAGTATATTTCGGGTAGCAACAAGCTTTTCTTGATTTTTGAGTCACTTTAATATCATTCTTTTTATTTGACTTGATCCGCACGATATAAAGTTCAGGACAGTTTTATTTCTCAAATTTCTTCCAAGTATTCTTCGCTCACTGAAGCAAATTTTGCACCCTTCGAAGCTGCCACTCTAGTTGTTGCGTAATATCCTGCTGCGCTGCGTCGGTACCGCGCTACGCTCTGTTGACTGGTTGACAACTGTGAGTTTCTACGCTCCAGATTGTGCGGGAACCAGTGAAAGTGCTTGGATGAGGATAATATCAAAAGTAACATGGTACTCATCCAGGTACTTTTACTGACATAATATTGCAGTCGACCGGGTACTTTTTACAATTCGCTGAATTATTTTTACAACTGGAAACCTGATATAAATAATAATATGCAACTCTTGGGCAATAGTAAGTTAAGGTTTGCAGTAGTTTAAATGTTCTTTTTTGTCTTTATTGTTGACACTCTACTTTTTCTGGTCTCTGCTCAAACAAGTTAATAATAATAATAATAGTGGATATTTATAAAGCGCACGTATCCACCAGGACTGGTGCTCAAGGCGCTACATCATTATTACCCCTGCTCATTGGGCCCATGAAACATTCCAAATACCATCTCAGCTCCCTGGGGAGTATACAGCTCGATGCAGCCTGTTAGGCGCAAGGAAGCTAATTCAATCACAATAACCATCTCTGCCCTCACAGGTACCCATTTACTCCTTGGTGGAGAGAAGCAATGAGTGACAAAGTGCCTTGCCCAAGGGCACACGCACCATGACCCCGCCAGGACTCGAACCCACAACCTGCAGCTTTACCCGCAGACCACGAATCAGTGCCCTTAACCACGAGGCCACAGTACTCCACACGTTTTAATAAAACTTACTAGCAAATGGGAGAACACGGGGGCAAAAGGGTTGTTTCCTATCGGTTCGTTACGATGCATTTCCCAGAGATAGAAGAGCGCCACCAATCGTTGTGCTGCGGAGGGGAGGAGATCTTGGTTCTGTAATAGTAGGACCTGGATGGAAGAAAGAAGTCAGGAATGTTTAAAGATGAAAGATCCAAGTTCTTCACGAGCTTATTCAGGCCCCCCCCCCAAAAAAAAAATTGTGTTCACAATTGCCTGACCTACCTGGATTTGTAAGGCCAAATCAAGTTCAAAATCAAGTTCAAAATTTTCTTTGCCGCATTTTATTTAAAATAAAGTACACTTTTTCTTAAACTCTTCCCTGAGCGTTTTTGTGCGTTTTTGGGTAAGGCAAACACAAAGAAAGTTCTGCTTCCGATTATAGCGTAGGTAGGTAGGGAATTTTTTTTTTTGGCCAATTTTTTTTTGGTGCTCGATCATATGGAAGCATGTGTGTGTTGTCTAGGGTAAAAGGTAGAAATTGATGGTTTTCGGAGGGTTTTTTCCCCTCATTTTTTTCCCATTAAAAATCAGGATATGGGCTGTCAGAATAAGGTAGGTAGGGAAACCGAAAACAGAAATACTTTCGTTTGGCCTAACTACAAAATTAAAGAGGTTAATAACCCCTTATACCTCAATCCTCCTGACGGTTTTGGAAGAGTTTGGAAAATTCAGGATGATTGCATTTTGACAGGCAGGACTGTCTGATGATTTTAAAGGGTTTAAGGTGCTGGGTTTGCCTATCCGTCATTTGAACATAAGTGAAAAATACTGGTGAATTTTGGAGGATTGAGGATGGTTGCTAGCAAAAAGGGCCTCTGGGGTTAGGGTTAAACAGAAGCATGTTAAAGGTAAACAAACTAAGAATAAAAGACAGACAAATGTACACAAAAAGTAACAAAATTAAAATATTGTCCTACCTTTTTACCTCAATATTTCTTAGGGAGTTACCGTAAACATACAACAAATTTTCTCGGCCTTAGCAATCACAAGACAATCACAAGAATTGTATGTCAGGTTATCACAGTGTATTTACAATCAAAGTAGCTGGAGTTACCCAGCCCTAAATTTTATCATTGGGTTGTCATTTAGGGCTGGAGGACATTTTTCACGCGAACCAGCAGAGTTGGCAGGTCCAAAAAAAATTTGACGTCACGCGGAAACGGAATACCCGACGACTGTTTCATGCACGATAACCGGCCAACTTTGGTTGCCGTCCAGTATCGCAGCTATGATGCGAGTGGTAAACGTCAACAGTCGTCGGGTATTCCGCTTCTGCATTAGTGACGTCATGCGCCATCAGCCAGCGCAGCCGGCAAGAACGAACTGGTAAACGCGCTGTGCACAAATCCAATTGCGGTCCTCGCCATGACCGCACGGTTGTCGGTTTATGACTCCTTTTTTCACTTCAATTGTAGGCTGAATCTTCATCGTGGATCGCTTTTTACTTCAAGGACCTGTGTAATGGTTTTCCAGGCAAGGTTTGGGTGAGTTCCAGTTGAAATTAGTGTGTAACAGGGACAAAATTTGGACCTGCCAACTCTGCTGGTTCGCGTGAAAAATGTCCTCCAGCCCTAAATGACAACCCAATGATAAAATTTAGGGCTGGGTACTCCAGCTACAATCAAAGGCATAAGTCGTTTGTATGTAAACTCACCAGGGCTGAGCCAACTTTGTAATGGTCCTGCATCCTGAATGCATGATGGAAATTGGTGGCGAGAATCTCAAAGGAACTGGTGCTGACCTGGTCCTCCGACAGCAAAACTGTTCAAAATTAAGTAATGAAACAAATTCATACGAAAATACAAGGCAGCTTGACAATTACAGTGCACTTCAGAAAGATTCCCAACCTGTCCATCACTAATTTGTCCCTGCAGTTTTATCAGCCATCAGAAAGTGATAACATGTCATAAAAAGTCAAATTTAGCAGAGCAAATATTGAAGCATTTACTGAGAAAACACTTGAAATTTGTCAGACCAGTCTCATATAGGATTTGAGCACAGAGTGACAAGTGATGTACTTGGAACTAATTCCCTGCCCAAGTTCTTGTCAATATACCTGTAAAGAAAAGTCAAGCAAACATAGACACTCCCAGCCCCCCCCCCCCTCCCTCCCCATCTGAAATTATTCAACCCCCCCCCCCAAAAAAAAAATCAAAAAAAAATCAATCAATCAATAAATATGCCTAGGAGTAGGCCCAAATAAATAAAATAGGAGAAAAGAAAACAATTGAAACTACAATGATAGGAAAGAGACCATTGATAATTTTATATGGAATAGATATTCACTGACACTTGTCAGCGAATCAAGTGTCGACTGCCATGTTGTGAACATGTGGGAATCATGAAGGGGGTCAGACAAGTCGACCGTTGAGACAACTCGACTCGGGACAAGTCGCCCGTTGAGACAACTCGACCGTTGAGACAACTCGACCGTATGTGCGATAACTGGAAAGACAAGTCGACCGTTGAGATAAGTCGCCTCGTTTTTGGGCCTAGTTTTGGGGATAGTACCGGGATTTTGACGGCGGCTGATCGCCGTTTGGTAGTTATGACACATAACAGAGCAGAGCCGATGTAGCGCAGCGTGATTGTCCGTGCACATCGTTCGAATTTGCCGGGCCTGTGCGCGCATCTCCGGTCAACCGCGTGGCCGTACCGTGCACGTGCCGTGCACGTTAGCTGTCTCAACGGTCGAGTTGTCCCAAGTCTAGCCCCATAAATGTGGCCTATTTACTGGACTGCCTCCGTAAACATAGGCCACACATCCACATGTACAAAAATCGTGTCGACGGAGCCAAATTTTGATTTTCACATTTAGGCTTAGTTTGTAGGTTTTTTTTGCTTTAGAAGCATACTCACCCTCTTTATAGGCTAATCAGAAAGTGCTGCCTTTTTCAGATGTCTAATTTTTGTGAAATTTCATGTTGAAATTTTGATACACAAACGTGTAAAATGAATCTGGAAATTTCACGAAAAATATACATCTGAAAAAGGCAGCACTTTCTGATTAGCCTATAAAGAGGGTGAGTATGCTTCTAAAGCAAAAAAACCTACAAACTAAGCCTAAATGTGAAAATCAAAATTTGGCTCCGTCGACACGATTTTTGTACATGTGGATGTGTGGCCTATGTTTACGGAGGCAGTCCAGTAAATAGGCCACATTTATGGGGCTATCCCAAGTCGAGTTGTCTCAACGGTCGACTTGTCTCAACGGTCGAGTTGTCTCAACGGTCGACTTGTCCCGAGTCGAGTTGTCTCAACGGTCGACTTGTCTGACATTTATCATGAATGTGCACGCAACATCAACCACAGCCGGCTATCCTAACGTTTTTTTACACGCCATATCAATGTTTTCAGGTCACTGATAATCTATAAAATGTATTGTTATTGAAAAGCAAAACAACTTGATTTCCCACAGAAGTCTTCTCTTTGAATAGAGACATGGCCAAGCACAGTAATATACAAAATGAAATACTCGTGAAATCCTCACTTGAGAAGACTCGCCAGCTCCTTCGCGGACAGCGCCATCTTGGAACATGTGATGAAGAGCGCCCTCAATTGGCCATTCGATCAAGATGGCAGCCTCCGTGAAAAATGTCGTCTGGAATTTTCCAAGATTTCAGCTGGTAAATTCCGGCTTTAAAATCTATTTAACTTTGGTTTTCTTTCCGTAATATCCCATGCAAAGTACTCTGGAGTACAAGGGTGTTCTTTTAGATCGAATATTTTGGCATAGGCTCTTTGGCCTTTAATATTTTGCCGTCACCGGCAATAGGGCCTAGTTCTCAACTTTTTTTTGCCGTGAAAATATGTTCATTCCTGATAAAAGAAAACGGACGTCATGCTATTGTGCATATGAATGTTACGGTGAATGGCCAGCGATCATGGAGCTGCAGTCATGGCAGTGCCACAGTGTAGTGAGCTTGGTGAGATTAGCCAGGCTATGGATTCGAAAGATCCCTGGCTCAAAATCGGCCTAGCGTATGTTTCTTCTTCAAATTTATAGTTGGGATATTTAAAATTTTAGGGAAAGCTTCAACGTGCTGTACATGATTCCACCAAAACTACCGACATGGTTTCTCAGAGCACGAATCCACAGCCCTGCAATTACTTGACAAACAAATTTAATGAGAAAACATTTGTGATTTTCTTTGAAACTTCTTACAAATTCAAAGTACAATTTCACATCGTCTTCACTAAAAAGAAAAAAGAAAGAAAAGAAATGCTGCCTGGTTTGTGATATTCATCGTATATGACACTGCAGTTCTTTAATTTCAATCACAGGCTGGAGTATACATGAGACAAAGCCAGCGATTGGCTAGCAGCAAGGCATCAGGGACAGCCAAGCCAACAGCCAAAGGAGACAAGAAAAAGGCTGCAAAACAAGGTTCGAAAAATGACTGGGATTCCAGATGTTGGTTAAAACGTTACCCAAATCTTGAGATAGTAATATTTTGTGTAGTAATTGTCTGCTTAGTGAATTTAACATTGTGCTAGAGACTTCACAGTATTTACTGTGCCAGTTTACTTTGTCCAATCAGCTTCGTTTTAGTGTCTTATATTGCACCAAGGCTCAACTTGTATGCATTCACAATGGCTGAGCCATGCAGTTACATAATTATTAAAAGAAAATCGGGAAAATGAAAGGAACAAAGCTTGACCATAATGCCATACAATAATCATTTGTGTCACAATTTAATAAAGTACCATAGCCCAAATGGTGTGATGAATAAATTTGAAGCATCTACCCCTCCAAAAGTTAATAATAAATATAAGAGTTTGTATTACCAAGCTGGTGAAATACAGTCTTTTGGTTGTTTTTTTCCATTAATTCCAGAGCCTATCTCTGACACGCCCAAGGCATCTGCCAGTGAAGCGCCCCCTTTGTACACCTATGAGGTCCCCACGTATGACGACTGGTACTTCTATAATCTAGAGAGTGACATGTCGAAGTATCGGATACCCCAGCCGGAACCAGGCAAACCCTAGACCGGACAAGAGCTCGTGACGAGTATGCGGTGCTGTTTGATAGACTCCCACATGAACGTCAATCGAGACAGGAATGCATGTCCTTTCCCCCACCGAATGGGAGGGTCTGGGATTTGGAGAAAGGGGGGGGGGGGGTGGTTCTGACACATGGAATAAATGTTAATAAAGAATAAAAAATGGGCCTTACATTTGAAATTCTAGATTGCATGGAGATGTGTATGCTGAAATTGTTTCTTTTGCAGCCAATGTTTCTTCTTATAACTTGTGAGCAAAAGGAGGGCGTCACACTGCACCCAGGCCCACCCCCCCCCCCCCCCCCCCCCCCCTGCCCCTGTCCCTCTCAGAATGCTTTGAAGGCAGTGGTAAAGTTTGTATTTATTTTAGTTCGCAAATTTATGACCTGTAGAGTCAATAGAGTAAATTCATGTTAAACTTGAAACCGTTTTGATGCCACTGGTATTTTATTTTAAATTTTGTAAAGTTGAATTATAATTCATCTCTTGGAAAACATGCTTCACAGTGTCGTTAAGCTTCACTGTCTGGAACGGAATACACTTTTTTGTTTGCAACATTCTGTGGATTTTGAATCCAATTTGATGTAAAAGTGTCAAAATGTTAGATCATATGAATTACATTGTGGAAAATGTACAACCAAAATGTGAACACCCCCCCCCAATACTATGTACCAGTTTAAATTGCCGACCACCCCCCCCACCCCCCCAAAAAAAAAACCCACCAGAAAACCAAAAAAAAACCCCCAAAACAAAATTGAAACCCAAAACCTACTGATTTAAGGAAACATATGTCATCAGTTGTTACCCCCAGACGATGCTGTGAACCCCCAAAAACATATAAAACCATCTCAAATTACTCCATACTTTGTTGACTGAAGTTATGTATGTATTTGACTAGTAAGTTTAATACTAACTAATAATCTCTTCCCATTATACTGTTTTTCACTTCTTCTGCCAGTATATAATTGAACAACTGAATATTTTCTAATCTAGGCCAACTTGGCACGTGTGCCCGCTGTCTCTTTCTGAATAGCAAGGAGGCGATTTCTATAAGTATTTTTAGTCCGCATTGAATTGGTATTTGACGTTCGAGTTGTAAATAAAAAGATCCTTAACATAATCATAACCTAAGCAAATGTGTGTTATTCTTATGATGTCATTTAGCTTTTGAGTTTATCTTTAAAAAACAAAGTTAGGCTATATATACAAGCTTTGATATTGACAAAATCGCAAATATTGTAAAGCGATAAATCAGTTACATTTTTTACAATTACGTCAATTAACTTTACTTTATTGCTATTGTCACAGTATCCATAATATTCTTCAGTAATCTGCTGCACAATTGTACTCTGGATAGTAACATCGTGCGCGACCAATAAAAGCAAAAACAAACAACAAAAAAACAAACTTTTCCCCACGGAAGTCAATCTTTCCCATAATGCACTGCAAAAAGTCCTCTCCGCGATAGTCTACTGGTGGCGCAATTGCCATTGAACTTTTCTTTAAAAGTGATTCTCTAAGTTGTTTCTCTATGCTTATTGATTAATTAGCTACACACAAAACTGATCTGTACTGAGTCTGAAGTTCAGTCTTCATTCACTTTGTGGCACGTGCATGTCCAGTCCGTAACGCTATAATATACACCCCCTCAACACAATGTATAATAAGAATTCCGTGCCTCTCGCACCGGCCGCCCCGCACGTGGATCTCAGGTGGTCCGAGTAAAGCGCCACCAAGTGTTCACGCAAGGGGTCCATTACCGGCAACACTTGTGTTAACCTGCTCGTACTTATGAAAGTCATCTTCCGGTGTTCTGTGGCAGTTGGCGATAAGGTAGCCACCGTCGTCTGCAGGATTCTTGCAGCGTGCACCGTCATTGGGATGGTGACCGTCCCCTGTATTAGTCTTCGGCTCCGGTATTTCCATGTAATCGGCAGATCTTCTAGAAACTTCTAGCTGAACTTCATACGGTGTTTCATCCAGTGGCGTGTTACTTGTTACGTCCGTAACGCGTTTATTGTCAGCATCTACGTTAACGTGCTCGTAATGGGAGTCACTTTCCGGTGGTCCGTGGCTGTTAGGGACGAGATAGTCATCAGCATTGCCGAAAACTGTGTTGATATATGACACATTGGGATTTTGGCTGTTAGTGACTTTTGATTTGTTGGGCTCTTTTTCCACAACGGCAGATCCAGCGGGGCCTATTCGAACTTCATAAGGGGCTTCGCGCGAGTTCCTCCCGCCGAGGTGTCCCGTCTCGCCCGCTGGTTGACAGGGTCGCTCGGTCCCTCCTCTGTTATCCATTATGGTGACCGAGTATGGGACGATAACGCTTACATTTCTCTCATCTCTTGTTGTGCTCGTTGCGGAATTTCTACCCGGGTTGTTGTCTCTGTTCTTAGAGCCAGGGCCTCGCCGCTTTTGTTTGATGCAAATCAGTGAGACAAGGAGTGTTATCAATAATATAGGTATGACCACCGCTGGCACTAGGGTTGAAGTGTTTATACCAGGCGAACCACGTGCGTCCGTTGTGGTTAATTGAGCGTCCGTTTTGGTCTGTACCGTTGTGACAGACTGAGTGGCCGGTGGCAGGCTTGATGTAATTGGTTCGACCGGTAGAATGATGATGATGTTGCAGGTCTTGTTAAGGCCTGGAAAAGCCGAACCGGTGACCGTACACACGAGATTTGCGTACGGCTGCGTCAGTTGGGACAAATCAAGTACGTTCTTTACACGTTCTTGTCCCGTCTCGTCTGTGTAGTGTTCCAACGTGCCATTTAGTTCCTCGCTCGTTGATTCCACGGTCCATCTTATGGTCACATTGGGGTATCCCTGCATCGAGTCACACCACACAATCTGGTTTGCAGGAGAAATGTCTGAAGCATTGCTTGAACATATCGGGCTCTCTTGTGGGAAGTTCTTTACTGATACGTAGACATTGCCCCAGCGATACGGATAACTACCGGTCCATCTGGCACTACAAATGTATCTTCCGGAATCTGATATTGTTACGTTTGCAATGTGTAAAGAGAAAGTATGATGATTATTCTCTATAAACACATACACTGAAACACGAGAATCGGCCGTCCGTATTTCGGAATTCGTTGTAATCACATTATCGAGACTACCTATCAGCCAACGAACGCTCCTTTGGTCATCAGGATGCGACGACACAGAGCAGGTCAAAGTCAGTGCTTGGCCTGCCGATACTTCAGTGTATTCGTCCGGTGGCAAATCCCCACCACGTGTGAGAACGATGGCTTGTACTCTACCGTTATGAACCAAGCAGCAAACGAAACTCATCAGAACGTAGCACCCTACAGCAGCCCAAATCAAAGTCTCAAACAGCCCGAACAGATCATTCTTTGAGTGAAATCCCATTGTAGTATATCGACGCCAAATGTTTATATTCACAGAAGAATACAGCTTGTTAAACATTCGATTACGGCAATAACGCTCCCGAGAAAAAAATTTCTCCCGCGAAAAATATCATGTATAATAACATTTGTCGTATCACACAGGTTGCTTCGAGCTAGAAGTCGTACTGTAGTATTACAAACGGTAAAGTTAGATCTTTCTCACCCAGTTCCCACGGTCCATGCACAAATCTTTGCAAGGTTTTTTTCATACTAAACACCGATGATGATTATTCCCACTAGTTAGACGATCTTTGGCATGAAATATCTTGGTTAAGGTGCCAAATGTTCGTCACATTTAAAGGCAGAAATGCAGGTTGTTTCCAAAACTGTTTGCTGTGTGCTAAACAAGGCTACTCCTGTAGGTAGTCGTTACGGTCTAATTCACACATGACGGAAGTAACCGTAGGCCTATACCCTTTTTGACGTAGACTTTGATGCATTATCGAAGGGACATTGTCATTATAAATTGGTATGCCTGTGTTGGGGTTAATCTCTGTTTGAACCCTAATTTTCAGTTCTTTCTGTGTCCTCACAATGCATGGTACATGTCTTCGCCTGGGCCATGCCATGCCACTGTCATGAGCTTTATACATCCAAAGTTTGGCAAACCCGATAGATAATTCATTCAGCGCCCTCTGTTGACTGTATTGAAGTAACGTAAATCACATTGCACGGGCACACAGCTAATAGTAATAGTTTGCTCTTATCCACCTCCTATATCCAGGGGCGTGACCTCTGCTTTCCTTGATTTCTAATAGGATGGATTTTGTGTACCCGATGACCAGGCTTCAACATTTTCCCCACGATACTTTGCGGCAACTGCATCAATTTCCTTCACAAGATTTTGTCCAACGGATATTTGGGCGCCAGGTTTGGAAATGTCACTAAAAAGTGACGAGTGTGACAGCAAAGCCCGTAGTAGGCCTACTTGGAATTCTCTCGTACCCACCGCCCAAACAGGGCGCTGGGAAGGGCTAATTTAGCGTAAATTCGTCGAGCCTCATTGGATAGAATTTGTTGAACAATAACACGGGTCATGCTATCCACCAGCGCATGACACGTGCGCACAAAATGCCCATGCATTGGTTAATAATAAGGCAGTTGGCTCCCCACAATGCTTTGCGGGCCTAGCCTGTGCTTCCTTCACACAATTTTGTGAAAGAGATTAGCCCTTCCTAGTGCCCTGTTTGGGCGGTGACTACGAGCGACTAATAATTGGATTCGCTGCCATTGACTGTGATTATTACAATCTCTTTTACAAAATCAATGAAGAACAGATGTTTACAGCATACGGAGTCTCGGATCGACGAGGGCGTGCCCCCCCCCCCCCCCCAAAAAAAGAGGTAATTAACCGGCTGGAAATCAAGTCTAGTGGTGACCCAGACCACAACCAAATTCAGGGTCGTACGCGTGATGGCCTATATAAATGTACAGCTAACAAACAAAACAATTAATCGAACCGGAAAAAAAGTGAAGCTAGCTGCATTTTAATACCAGCTGCACAGCATGAAGCAATTGGGTCGTCCTTTGAAAAGAATACGCCCTTGACCGTGAAAAACAACAACAGTGCATTGTCATGCAAATGAGAAATGTAGACAGTTTGTATTATGCTTATTATGCGGTGGAATAACATGTTTTGGAAAAACAACTGAGCGAATATATATCAGAACATTTGGAGTGGGCATTATTACATCGATAAAGATGAAGACCTTTGCTGTGTGTCTGCTGTTGGTCGGCTGTATTGGTAAGAGAACAATTTGGTAATCATCCACCTAATTAATTAATATTTTTTTTCCCGATCAATTTAAACTCTTTTGCAAATAAAAATTGTCTAGAATTCTAAAGTCCAAATGTGTGCACAAGTAATGGGCTCTGTTATATTGTTATAGCAGATTTTCTCTCAATGTGAAAAGTGGAGATAACTGTTTTTGCAAATCAACTGTTCATGATGTAAATGAAGTGACATTTTCACAGTTCTAGTCAATAAAATACACTTTTTTTATGAAATGGAGCTAACCACATGTTTTAATTTTTTGTTTCTTAATTCGGTCACTTCTTTTTGACACACCTTGTATATAGCACGACAACTTCGACCAACGATGGCATTTTGTCGTCCGAGGAGAGGACTTGTAACGTTTTGTTTTGTTTTGAATATTCAGGATCATGTGTCGCTTTAGACTGCTACTCTTGTTTCGGTTGTGGGGATCCGTTTGACCCGGCCGGCGTGACGAGAACGACATGTCCTAGCGGTAATGTCTGCCAAGTAAGTTGGAATGTTGACACTCTGGATCATGATTGAAGTTTGGACCAGCACAACCCAACTCTGTGAATTTCGTATTGGCTTTTGGTTACAATAAACAGCCACTCCAAAAAAAGAGAAGAAGAAGAGTTTTGCTGAAAAATACGCACAAAATCACTGGAAAATGGAAAACCTGGAAAACTTTATGTTCTTCCAGCTAATCATGGTAACTCATACGGCTGTGCTTTTCTCCGGATGCCATTTTTTTCAGTTGGGGGGGGGGGGGGGGGGGGGAAGGAGCGACTGGGGGCATAATAACTTTTTATGGGGGGGGGGCGTGCGCCCCCACGGCCCCCCCCCCCCCTGCGTAGCTACGCCGCTGCAGTGACCCAATGATGACATTTGACCCCAGTTTGGTCATGTGACATGTTGGGGCTGGGCTACTGATAGTTTTTACTCAGTTTGGTTGAAATAGGTCAAAATAACCATGAAGGAGCAATAAGCAATATGTCAACGTTTGTTACTAACTAACTCTGAGAGACATGATGATTTGTTTAGCTGCTATATAGCCTATCCCGCAGCTAAAAATAAACTCTGGCTAACAGTCTTTTCTTAATATATTCCGGATTTTGTCCTGATTTTGGTCTCTATGAAATTAATAGCCAGAAGCTCGCTATCATTATAATTATTAGGTAATTATATTAAATTGTAGGATAGCGAAGAGAAATGCCCAACGTAATGAACCTCTAGAAAACAGCTTCGAAGAAAAAACACCAACGAATCATACTACACTCAATACCTTAGGTAGGCTTTACATGCAGGAATAAAATAACGATCCTCTGACAATCATGTCTTCCATGACAAATTTCCTCCCCGCAGGCTCAAGAGATAAGTTCCGGTGTCACTGCTGGGCTGTTTAACAGAGGTTGCACCGAGGCTGACTTTTGCACACCCGGCTGCATTAATGCCCCTGGGCAGGGTAACATATGCAGTTACTGCTGCGACGAGGATCTGTGTAACAGCAAATCTATTGCGGACGCAGTTGAAGACATCATCCACTGCTACCTGTGTGCATACAGCTCGGATCCCTCTGCTAGCAACTTCAGTTCCCCAGCGTGTAACAATCCGTTCGACCCGAACGGTGCTGGTGTATTGCAACTACCATGCGCCGATGGCGAGTGCGGGGTAGGTTGGTTAAATAAACATTAGGTATATTTGGTTAGAAAAGGTTGTTATTACAAAGATGAAGTGTGATCATTATGTGGATAGGTGGGTTTGATGATTATCCTGCGTCATTTTTGTGTCAGTTCATTTGTTTTGGTGGCGCACACAAAGGGGGGGGGGGGGGCGCTCGCGGGGATCGACCCCCCCCCCAAAAAAAGAGGTTGTCACTTTTTTTTTACCTTTTAGAATGTTTGTGGCCTATTTTCGAGTAGTATAATATTGGTGTAAATGGCGCCACCACGGCAAAATAGCCCCCTTCCCCCCCCCCCCCCCAAAAGGCTGCGGCCAAAAATTTTGAGAATTTTGTGAAACAATTCTAACTTCTCAAAAGAAATTAAAAATAAAATTTGTAAGCCCCACCCCCAAAAAAACCATTAACCCTGGGTGCGCCACTGATTTGTCTACTATACCTTAAGTCTAAATGGAGAGTTCCCATTATTTTCTTTCCTTGTATAGGTCATGACGACCAACTATTTGGGGGTCACTACCGTCACCAGGTTGTGCATATCCAATAGCACTAGCCCCGGGGGATGTACCCCTGGGTGTGACGCCCTGAATATCACCTGTAAAACCTGCTGCTCTGACAACCTGTGCAACGGGGGACTTGGTGACGGAGAAGCGCCTTTAACGATGAAGCCGAGCGCAGCGCCCTCAACGTCGGAGCCCAGCGCAGCGCCCCCAACGACCGGCGTTGGAAAGGCCTCCGTCGCTGCCATTTTGCTGACTTCTGTAGGTTTGCTTGTGGTTTGGGGTTAAAACGTGTTTTAAAAATAAATAATGATATTTGGGCGTCGTCATCTGCAAAAAAAAACACGCTTCAGACCGATGGTTAAGCGGCTGTAATTATAGAGGCTGGTTATTCTTTTAACTGAATTCGGTTTAGAAAATTGCACTTAAGATGTACTTGCTTGCCAAGCTGTCGTAATTATGACAATATGGCAATTTAGTTCAGCTATATTTTTGTTTTAATTAAATATGATCTCACTTTGAATGCATTCTCTTTCCTTAAGTTAGAGGATAAGTGGATATCTGTTAGTTTCTGCCGGTAGAGATGGACAATTTTGTTTGCTTGCCCATAAGTATAGCCAGACCCTACAAAAATCACCTCATGGGTGTATTGAGCGCAGCCAACTAAGAATAGAGCAAGTGCTTTACAACAAAATACCGGTTTGCTGTGAATGTATGCATTCAGCACGCGTGAAATAAATATATTTTACAAGCGTATAGTGCGTATGATTTCGTTTAAGTGAACACCACAAACATGGGCCTAACAAACTAGTCTGAAACCACTATCCTTTTACATAAATGAGCAAATATGAGCGGTGTCGCTGTTTGCTTTCCCCTTAATGGACCGATCCAGTAAGCCCCGCCCACTGCGCACTGGGCAAATCAACACGTGTTTCTCTTCAATGCCACACTGCATTTTCCTGCCGCGCGCATCATACGCGCGTGCACGCATGACGGACTTTTGTGCACGCACGTCGGACATAAATCACGGCTGTGATTGGTCAGAACACCATGGGGCGGTGCTTACTGGATCGGTCCATTGTGCGGCTGCATGGCTGTTCTTTTAAAACATTAACAAATGTGATAATCCTGACCTATGGTTCTGTCATGATCTTGGCTACCATGCTGTTGTAAAATGATAATCTGACTCCTGTGAAAATCGGACTCCTTTTGCCTGTTATCGGTTAATCCCTCGCACTTGATTGGTCACTCTCCTATATATTATCCTATATATATAGCATATTATCATGCTTGCGCATGCGCAATACTACCAACGAGTCCATATTTCATGAAGTCGGATATTCACGCTATACACCTGTCCCTAATTGATTGCTCATGTGTATAGATCCTATGTATTTTCTTGTGGGGGAATGCTTAATTCATCTTTTGGGGGAATACATTTGTACACCGGTTTAACTCCGTTTTGGTTGGGCTCCATTTGTTTTATTATACAAAGTATTCACAAATAACTAGGGCAATGACGTCAGTCACAGGCATACAGACTAAAAACTTTATTTAAAATTGGCTTCATCGTATATTGTACTAAACTAAGCATCAATATCTCTTCTAAGCATCGACAATGTTAGCTAAACTTGTCATACAATGAGGCATTATTTAGTATTTTGCCACCTAGTGGGCGATTTATCAACAGTCCCTATTTATTGTAACAAGAAACTACTGTGTATCAAAAACTACATTCAGAGTTTGGGTGGAAGCATTTTGTGTGCTTATGGCCGGTTTTGGAGTCAGGATGCTGATAATTGCCTGCCCGTTAAATACCAACCAAACACAATTTATTCTCAATTATTATTAAACACTTTTTCGGTACAAAATCAAACCCTATCGGTCCAAAAGTAAAATAAAAAATAAAAATGATAAATGTCGAACGATTTTGTTCAACAATTTTACTTCATGCTTTCCGAAACTCCATGTTTACGCGTAGTTCACGATGTGGCGCAGAACGCAGCTGAGCCGGTGCATTGTGAATTTAGGACTAAAATGCTGTGACCAAATGCTTTGACGTGATCAACAGGAGGTGAGGTTTTATTTACTGACACTTAAACATCCATATATTTTCAAAAGTCTCTTTTTTGATGAACATTATCTTCTCTATTAACTAAATCAGTATTTACTTTCCACAATGTTACCGATGACGTTATGAAATAGGAATATATTCGATAGGAAATGTTTTACTGATTTTATGGAACTCAAAATGATGCACTTTATTTTCAAATTCAACGAAATGGTCACACTGGAAAAGCTGAATCTCGTGATCCTTTTTCATTTTTCTGACAACAAAATCCACAACTTTAAAAACTAGACAATGTCTTATGAAACAGTTTTTAACTCGAAAACAAAGGCGGATCCACCCCAAACGAACCCAATTGGTCAAAGTGGTCACAATTAAGTTGCCTCAGATCACACCACAGAGCATTTAGAATCAAAACAATTTTTTGACACACTTTTTGGGGGGAACAATTTTTTGCCCCCCCCCCCCCAATTGTGTTCTGGATCCGCCCTTGCTCAACAAACACGGAGCTCTAGTGAAAAGGTGTACTGCGCCGTTTAGTTGACAACCATTGAACATCATTGTCATGTGTGTAATCAAAGAAAATGTACTAGTCTCTTTAAGCTTAACACGTATTGTGGTTTTTTTTTCATTTCAGATAGTGTGCCAGAAGCACGATGGTTGCCACCACCATGGCACCGACACGCCAAGTGGTGGCGCTGTTGGACAGCTCATGGCGGAAGCAACATACTTGTATTGATGTTGCGAAAGTTTTGCAGTCACCGAATCTCGTATCTGCCGGAAGACCACACGTCTCCAGAGTGGCACATCGTCGGGCAACTACACCCGAAAAGCGCTCTTTGACTTTCTGGAGGGTGATAAAAATAACAACTTCGCTGTTATTTGGTTTCAAAAAAGTACAAATTTAAACATTATAATACTAGGTCCTCATCCAAATTACATATACCTCAAGTTAGAACAACCCTTTCTAGACACGCCATTTCTTTCCCTGGACCACATGCCCCAAAACATTTTCCGTGCCCCCCCCCCCCCCAGGTGTCTCCCCCACCAAAATACAGATAATGTCCCTTTCCTTCCCCAACTGAAAAGGGCTTTTGTAAGTTTTTTTTTTTGAGTTAGCCAACGGCTTACTGTTTACAATTTCATATGTCAATTGATATATAGCGAGGCATTATGGGGCCCAACTGGGGAAAACTGCAATAGGACGTTTGCAATTATGTGCCCCCATGATATCAACATGCCCCCTTTGCCCCCCCCCCCCCACTCAAAAAATCCTAGCTACGCAACTGCGTCATCATGGATATGGAATAAAAATATGGAGTGCACTAGCACTGTGTTCATAACGCGCATTACAGCACGTGCACACAATTGATTCAAAAAGTTAGCTGCATCACAATGAAAAAGCATTTACATGTGCGTTTTTAAGATTTTGGTCTGGATTCGACGCACGAGGGCGCGTTATGGAACGGGCTTCCATGTTTTTGCGCTATGCATTTTCACTATAGATATACAGACCGAGCGCAACCCAGACTTGGGCCAAGTCTACTGTACAGTGTTTGATAGTGTTTTGTCAGTTTAGTGTTGATGCATGTTCGCTGTTTCTTTACGTTCTTTTGTTTTGGTTTGTTTGTTTCTAACTTACCATGCAAGCGGTCTGATTAGCAGTACAGTTCTGTATCGGGACATCGTAGTCAAATTGGTCCTTACATTTATCTGGGTTGTCAGAGCCCGAACAGTGGTAGCAATTCAAAGCCCAGCCAGAACCTCAAAAAAAAAGGGAAAAAAGAATCGGTTAAGGCCAAAACGTTTTCGGTTTCTGGTATATGGAGCTTGCCCCCAAAGTGGTTTATGTGGCGAAGTGTTTTTTCCCTACTTTTTTCTTCAAATGATGTTGCAGATGACGCTGCTATCCAAAACTCTAAAAAATATCCTTCAGGGTGGAGATTGAGATGACCTCAGTAAGGCTATAAGGCTTGAGAATTCTGCACCCACTTACGATCTCGACCGACATGAACATTCTTCTGGATATTTAGATAGTCAAGACAAAGATCAGAGAAAACGGTATAACGTCAGACAATTCAGCAACATCATACAGTCATCATGTATGTGCTGCCAGGCTGGTCATTAGTCTGCACCCTTACATATTGCGCTAATTAAAAAGCGTTTACAAATTCCAAATGCACAATTATTGCTCCCTCAGTCTGGCTTCCAGACCACAATTACAAAATCACAACACCGTCTGCAAATGGTGCCCGACTAAATTAATTGCAAAATATATGGGAGCCCATGCAGAGAGGCCACATAAAGCTTTTACTCGATTGTAACCCCATCTAAAAACATGTTAAAATTGTGCGGCAGCAGGATTCACTTCGACTGAAGTGGTTCATTTTTCAGACTATGACAATCGAAAATGAGAGTGACTTTTACTCTAAAACGTCTAGTCCCTAAATCCACTCTTTGGAATTTAGAGAGTTTATTGGAAACAAAGCCTAGATACAGTTACTTTTATTTCCATCCTGCCAAAAACTCAGGACGAATGCGTCCATGTCACTTTTAAATCATGCCACTTTAGAGTACGGAAGCTCATAAGTGACCATCAGCGTTGCCACTTTTTTTCCCACTTTATACCAGATATTTTTTTTTTAAAGTTCCGTTTTATCATTCAGAAAAATAGACTTACTGAGAAAAAGGGAAAAACAAACAAGAAGAAAGGTCCACTTCATAGTTTTGAAGGTTTCGTGGTGGCAACCGCACTGCATGAACAAAATTACAAGAGAATTGTTTTTAACAAATGAATGTATGGATCGGACAAACACAGTTTTTGTTAGGCTGTTTGAAATGACCTTGTGAGTCTTAGAGGCAGTCAAGTTGGCGTGGCGGTGCCTTTCTCGCCTTCCACCGCTGTGACCCAGGATGCTATTATATGCGCCCCTCGAGTGTTGAAAACGTCACAAAGTATTGCGCCGTTAAAGATGCGCCATCTTTCGTGAAATGTATTTATTTTGCGCTTTAAATCAAACCGCACCAAACACGAGAGACCTAAAACTTAGATCAGTAAGTACTGAGAAAGAAAACAAAAGTTGCCTGTCAATAGGTGATAATTTCACCAGCCGTACGCAATCTACATCTCAGTAAATTGGTGCGAACAGTGTATCTAAGTTTAACAGAGGAATCCTTACCTATCAAATTAATCAGTTGCAGTTTGAAGAAAGTCTCGTCTTTTCCGAGCTCTTGAAGTGAAATTTAGCTCCCGATGATGAAGGCTAGCACCTAAGTACAGTGGTAACTGTACTTTGTTACGCTACAAGTTACCTATAGTATATGCAGACCTGGTTGAATTGTACATGGGGCGTAAACCAACAGACTTTGTTCTTTTGTATACAGAGGGCGCCTACCTGTATATCTGCATACAGAGTTCAGTATGTGATGATGACCCAAAAGCAGTGTAAGTTCACGTAAACACGTATTAATATTGTGACTTTGTACAAAAAAAGCATCATTATCTCTTTGAGTTTTTATCTCATACACAAATAATTTCTGAGTCAGAGTCAACAAATGTATATATTTAGGGGCTGGTACTACCACGGTTCAACTTGCGGCCATCATGAAGTTTAATTGATAGTTGGCCGAAATCGTTGTAGGCAGTGGCCTTTGTATAGCTCCACAAAGGAGTAACTATTGTGTTATTCACCTCAGGAGCGGTTCTTTAGGGGGAGGGGGCTATCAGGGTGGATCCAGACTTTTTTTTAGGGAGGCGTGCTGAAATGTAGACCGGTTATTTTCTCCGGACACATAGGCCTCCGAAAATCAATAGGGGGAGGGGGCTCATGCCATATTTTCAATGGGGAGCGCTGATAAAATCCTACAATCAGGCACACTATATTAACTCAAAGTGTACAAATGCACCCTTCTCACGACTATTTATTTAGGGGGAGACCGTTTGCATGTACGCCACATTCTTACATTTTGCTAGTGCAATTTTTTTGAAGGAATTTTTTTGGGGGAGGCTAGACACAATTTTGCGGGGCTAACCCCCAGCCCCCCCCCCAGAAACGCCACTGATTCACCTGTCCCCATTTTGCACAATTGGTTATTGTTTCTAAACATTCGGTTGGTTGGACACATATGAGAGTGTTGGTTATTTCTACCAAAATGATTGGTACTGTTAACCAATGTAGTTTTTAGAGAATATCCCATTAAATACCCGCACTGAAAGGGTCTTTAAATTGTATTCAAATGCGTTGTATTCTTACCCTTTATAACTGACAGTCCAAGTTCAACTGAAGTTCTTGCCTATAAATCCGTTGCAGTTTTGAGAAGTTCTTGGCCCTGTTGCTCAACTTTTTTTCTGATCTCTGTCATTTTTTTTTGGCCGATGACAGAGGCCTGCAGCTGGTTTGTGGCTCAAATGTTGGGATCCTTTGCCGTGTACATAACCTGTGCAGACCGAATTGAAAATGCTGTACAAACCAGACTTTGCACCTCTCGATCGTCACCATAATTACTAGTCTAGTGTTGAGGCTAAACGATGCTGTGGTCCGATACGCGATAACCCGCCGCCGCGAGAGGGCGTTATCACGACCAACCACTAAAATCCTTTGCTCGTACTATACCCCCTGCCCTGCAAACAGGATGCTGGTAAGGGCTGATGTTCACTTGAGCTCTCATTGGATAGATTTGCGTGACCTGTGACGTAGAACGCGTCACACAAACTAGCTTCCGGTGCCCATCATGCGTAGCGCGTGCGTACACACTTCCCACCAGCGCACGGAAGCTCATCCACCCCAGCACCACTCGGGTCGAACGGATCGTTACACGCTGGATATGGAGAGCTCGCGTTGAAGTTGGCACCGGAGGGATCCGAACTGAAGGAACACACATAGCACTGGAGCGTTGGCTTGGCAGGGACGGGACTGCGGCTGTTACACAGGTCGTTGGCACAGCAGTACTCGCATATGGTATTCCGCCCTCCGGCGTATTCAGTGCAGCCAGATTTGCAGAGACTTGCTGCTTGGCATCCCCTAGTGTACACGTCAAAATCATCCGAATCGGATTTCATCCGAATCGGATTTCAGCTTGCGCGCTGGTTGTCTGGGTTCTAGACTGGATTAGCGAATTTTATTCCGCGAATCATGGAGCCGCTCCTTCGCAAACGATTTTGAGCTACTAAGCCGGTATGTAGAGGACGCTATTTCATCGCCTAAGTTTATCGCTGAGATAATTTTATTTTAAGGTGAAAAAAAAGAGCCAGAACCTAAATGTCCTGCAGTAATACAAAGGAAAACTGAATTATGCATGATATGTTACGAGCAACCCACTTACGGGGGAAAAAATCGCGAGCAGTCACCGGAGTCCTGTGCCCAATTTCTTGGCTCTGCTTACCGTTAGCCGAAAAAAACCCTGCTTACTATAACAGCAAATTCTATGTTTACTGTAAGTGTATTTCATGGGTTCGCAACGAATTTCGGCTTTATGCGCATGCGTAGGCCTACATCCCGTAACTAAGTATTCTTTGCTTACAGGATTAGCACAGATTTTTTATGCTATAGCGGTTAGCACAAAATGGTAATCGTAAGCGCGTTATTCTGTTGCTAGCAAACTGGTACTGCGGTATACCAGGGTAAACACGAGTATCACGTGATGACTAACCACACGTTGTGGCGGGTATCCGCTCCGTTCGCAAGTACCCCCTCACCGGCAAAGGAAGTACAGTTGGGGGTGCGCAGCCACTGCGTGTACATACAATGATATACGTAAATAATTGGGGGGGGGGGGGGGTGAGAGACATGTTGGGAGAATCGCACAGAGCAACAGCTGGAACAGTACAAAGTGCAGTCATAGAGCGTCTATGCCGGCAATATAATTGTCTCATGTTTGAGAGGGTCGATGTTCTGTAAGCGATAGGTTTCTGCAAATGAGACTCAGATGTTTTCCTGCCCTCTGTCATATTTTTAAATTTTCAAGATAACTTTTATCTTAGAAATTAGCAAGAAAATTACGGAAAATATTGTGCTCGGCCGGCCGGTTTTTAACAAGTTCGTTTAAAACCGGTTGGTGGCCTAAATGTAGACAAAATGGCCCGTTTATAAATATCCTTTGGTCAAATAGGCCATATAAAAGTCAAAGATTTACACATTTCCAACGATTTTGTCCCACAGTATTTTACTTCGTGTTTTGTGGTCATGTCTATGGTATGTGCCTCACGAGCGTATCGCTACAAATCTCCTCATATGGAAATTGGCGCACGCAGCGCGGACTGCGCGATGCAGCGCGGACGGCGCGATGTGGCGCAGAACGCAGCGGTATTTTACCGGCGATTTAAAGCTATCGTGTGACGGGATCTTGACGAATAGAAATGTGTAAACTGTCTCAGGTAAATATGAACGAGTAATGTAATAAAACAAAATAATTTGTTCGACCATTGGGAGACCATCATTATTAGCACTGACTCTAGGACAATCGTTTATTATATTCTTTCGTTCTAATGAGTGCAAAATTACCATAAAAAATCCACTGTGCTGTTTTCTAAGTTCAGTGAAGACGACCATTTAAACTACATGCAATTATTGACTCTACAGAACATTTACTGGTCTTTTTTTCGCGATGAAAGAAACATCTCCAAAAGATGTATTGCCCTTCGTCACAAAAACCATTCAGTGCTGAATTTTATTTGGCATTGAAGAGTTTCGTGAGCCTTTCCTTCCACGCATATGCAACTGAGTTAGGCACGTGACCACAATCTAGCCTCGAACATCAACGTTTCTCTGTAATTCATGTTTTTCATGAGCTTTCATTTCTCAGTTGCTTATGCGGAGATGACTAACGATTCAAATCAATACAAATTATTGTAAGGTTTACTAGGTTAAAAGTTATAAAATCCATTAAACGTACATGGGAACATTTGCTCATTTGAACAATTTCTTTTGAAGCAACAAACATCTTAAAAAGGTGCCTAACAACTAACATGTTGACGTTTCCGCTCAGTGGATACTAAGTACATTTCGAGAAAACAGAGAAAATGTGTCAACAATTTAATGGATGTCATAACTAGATTCCGTTGCTTATAAACGCGAGTAAATATCTGTCCCGCGTTGCGGGTTTTCATCGGCACTCATTTGTTTGTTGGTTGGTTGGTTTGTCTGTTTACAAGATAACTCAAAAAGTTATCAACGAATTTTCAAGGGAAAAATGTAGGGGTCTCCTTGAAGTTTGTACAAGTACAAATCGATTAGATTTTGGAAGTGATCCAAATGTGGGTCTGGGAGATGGGGCCAAATTCCCATATGGAAAACTTTGGCTTTATTTCACGCCGAAAAGATTTGACCAGTATGTGCAACTCATCATGACCCCAAATGCTGAAATGTGACATTCCGTTACACCCTGTACACGTTGCGCGAGTGGCAACCGGTTCATGAACTCTACCATTTACAGAAAAAGGGATTGTAAGGACATGTATGCGAGTATTTCTGTTGGGTGTATTGCACTGACAATATGCCTTGTTCAGTCTTGGCGGAGGTTTGTGCTCGGTGAGTGCTTTCTCTCCTGAGTGCTTTTAATAACAGGGTTTCAACATTTTCATCCCTTCGCTGCATTTTGACAGCGAAGCGTATATATAATCAACTTCAAGATCAAACTTAAAAAGAATGATCTTAATCCATAGATCCAATGTAATATTATCGTTACAATTTATAGTGAGCGTGGTCGTTCAACACAGTTTCGAAAACCTAATACAAGAAAATCCGGTCTCAGCTTTTAAGAAGCACATTAAAAAAGCCGAATACATCTTAAGAAATTGATTGGCAACGAAGTATGGGATTTAAAAAATCTCACAAATCTAAAAAATCGCATTGTCCCATTTTATTTTGTAATATATAATTGTTGTAATTGTTGTTTGTGAGTTTGTTTGCTTGTTTGTTTGGGGTATTATGTTGTTTGTGAGCTTGCTTGTTTGTCTGTTCGTGGCGGTATTTGTTTTGTTTTTCTTGTTTTTTGAACGAACTTACCGAATAAGATTGAAAGCTGGGTCGGATTTGGATCAAAGTTGAATATTTTAGATTCTGGGAATATTGTTTTGTGAATGCCATCCATCGTATGTTTCAATGAGAAAAAGGCCGATTTGGGCGGCAGAAAAATCATTGTAATTTGACAACTCATAATAAGTTTTCCTAAATAGTTCAGTCTGCTTTTTATCGCGGTAGCCGACATTTTCTTTAGAAAACAGCCTTTGCTACGAACATCATGGCGGTCAAAGCGACATAGCTGACTTGACGAGTGGTGGCGCTGTTGCATTTATCTCCATTGCAGCAACATACAGCGTTGTCGTCATCTACAACTTTGCATTCGTTGGTTCCTAAACCGTTATCCCCACAGTTCGCCGTTGAGGTGCAGCCGCGTATTACACGCCCGGAAATTTCAAATTTCTGAAGACAAAAGGAGAAAAAATAAACCTTACTGAAACCAATAAACCAATCATGTTTTTTTACGATGTACGAAAGAAAGGGCTGGGGAGGTGTGGGGTGGTGACGACATTCGCATGCAGGCCTACAGATACATGGTTCAATTCCATGTCAGGGTTACGAGCTTGTCTGTACAGTGTACGTAATCCAGCGAACTGCAATAACGTTTCACAAACTTCATCTTTAGTTTGTTTCCGGCTCCACGTCCATTGCGCCTGAAGCCAGAGCAAAGTCAGAGACAAAGTTTGAGAAATGGTTAAGAATATTTTTACCGCAAAATAGGCTAAGGCCAAAAAAAAGTCTCCGGTTTCTGGTATGGAGCTTGCCTAAAAAGTGGTGCGGCGACGCGGCTTTTTTTTCTTTTTTACCTGATTTTTTTGCTTCAAATGTCGGCTGATGACTGCAAATGGTGCCCGACTAAACTTAGTGCAAATATATGGGAGTCCAGAGAGGCCACATAAAGCTTATTCTCGACCATATCCCAATCTAAAAACACGTTAAAATTGTGCAGCAGCAGGATTCCAGTCAAACCAGTGAGTTTGGCGGTTTTGAGACATCATCTTTCACTGAAAAAAAACTCTTTCATTTCCCGACGCGCATGGCTACGGCGACGCGCGCGCATAACAGAAACCGGAGACTTTTTGTTTGCCTTATACTCATACCGCACAAGCGTCATTTGTATCGCTAGAGCACTTGATGAGAAGGTTTGCGTTGTTTGTCGTATCGAATGGATCATTACACTCGGTATTCTTGTCCCCAACACAAGCGTAGCAATTTGTCACGGATTTGGCAACACCTGTAGCGGAAACAAATTAATTTAAAAGCCAAAATATTATAAAAGACCAACCCAATCATGGGCGTCGCTAGGGAGGGGGGGGGGGGGAGAGACAAGCCCCCCCCCCCCGACAAGCCAAAATGGTTAAATTAAAGTGAATTTTATTTTTAGAACGTCTGTTAAAAGCAACTTGCTTTTGGCATGGAGAAATCGCTGATTTTCTCAAAAGCTAGCTA